ATTTTGTCAAAACCTTGGTTACATTCATTATGGGTGAGGACTTGCCTGTAGCGTTTCTATTTTTACGGACATTTCAGTTGTGTCTTTTGCTTTGATTTTTTTGGGGGATCAAGACTGGTACTCATGCAGAGTCCATAACTTGTGCCTATCTATCCACCGATGTGACTGCAAGCAGTTCAGATTTATGCTGTGTTCAAAGCGATACACAGATGTTAATCGGTCTAACCTAGCAAGACTTCTGGTGCAACTTTACTTTCTTTATTGTGGAGATTCTTCAGTTTTACAATCTCACATCAGGATATTCGCTGCAGTAGCCTCATTACTGTGTGCATGGACGCGTTCCCGCAACTACACACAGAACATGACCTCACTAATCATTAAGGGAACTACCAAAAACCACACTGCTTGACTGATCTGCCAAAATGTTAACACAACTGCAAGCTGCTGAGATTTGCACCACGCCGAAAGTGGCAAGATAAAAATGTTAGTGAGATTGTGGCGTGACTTTTACAGAAAAGTGAGCTCAGTCAGACATGAAGCTGACGCGTCCAGATGATGTCAGGTTAATGGAACGGAGGACGTGTCTGAGCAGGGCTGAAGATCAGGAATAAGTAAAGTCGCAGAACTTCACTTCAAGAATCAATTCATTGAGAAAAAATAACGAAGCAGTGATGATACAGCTAAAGTGTCAGGACCGTCCTTTTTATTAAGTTTAATATCACCTGCAGCACAAAAAAAGTATTGAAATAAAAAAATGAAATCTTACTGGTCACACAGATGGAGCCTGCGTGCCACACCTTATTTCCTCTCTCTCTCTTTTTCTGTCGCATCTTCTCTCATCTTGCACCTCTCCTCCTCCACCCTCCCTCCCTCCAGTCGCCTACCTTCTCTACTCTGGGATAATTAAATAACCACTCAAACAAGATAAAGGCCCATCAGCCATCGTCACTCGCCTCCTCTCCCTCCCTCTCTCTCTCTCTCTCTCTCGCACACAGAGGGATGCATCTCTGTGTCTTGCAGAGGAGAGACGAGAGTGTGAGCGCGATCGCTGAAAGAGCAGTGAGCAAAAATTAAGGGAGGGAAAACAGAAAGAGGGCTGGAAGATTGAGAGCGAAAGGGGAGTCGGAGAGGAGGAGGGGGTTGAGAGGGAGGCGGTTTATGTGAATGGCATGTTGAGTGAGGGATTGATAGCTCGTGATGCGCCATCAGGTCCTGCGTCTTTGAACTTCTCGAACTCGACAGCCTTTTCAACCGTCGCGCGCTCCTTCCTCCCTTTTTTCTCTCCGGCTTTTCCTGCTTCACAGTTTAAAAAAAATAAAAATCCTGCGCGCCGCTTCTATCCCCGCTAATCTGTATTCATCTCTTCCCATTCCTCCCCTCTTCCCACCAGCAGGCTCGCGCTGCACTGAGCCTATTCTTGGAGCTACCGCATCCCCTCGCCGCACTGGTGTGTGAGAGAGAAAGACGAGTGTGTGTGTGTGTGTGTGTGTGTGTGTGTGTGTGTGCATGCTGTCCTGATCTATTAATACCCTCTCTAGTTATCGCCTCCTCTCTCCACATCTGTGTGACGGCCAGTGTCTGCGGGAGGGTGTGACTGCCCAGAGTCGGTGTGTGTTGGTGTGTGTGTGTGTGTGTGTGTGTGTGTGCAAACGCACCGCAGGCACAGACTCTACGCTATAAATACCGTCTCTAGTGATCTCTCTCTTCTCACTTCGGTGCAACATCTGCAGCGAGACACACTGACAAAACGAGGACACAGCAGATCTTCCACACACACCTCCAGACCAATTAGTAAAAGTCGCATCGACTCAATTCTTTCCCTTCAGTTACCACTTAAAGCACCGAGCGCTGAACGATGTGGCGGGGTAACGTGTGGGAAAAGGTGTTACGGAAAATAGCTTTCCGTCGCATTTCCGGGAAAGGATATTAGCGCCAGGGCTTTGTTCCTGAAGTCCACCACCGTGTACCTCCTCACCAGCGGGTCCACGAAGCTGATCATGTGATGTCTGCACTGAGCGTGCTCCTCAGCTGTCACCTTATTGGTAATGATGTCCAGACCCTGGTACACCTGTGGGGAGGGATACAGAGGAAGGAATCAACAGAGAGCAGCAGCCAAATGGTCACAGCAGAAGAAAATCATAAACAAAAGGTGTATTAGTCGATACTCTCGATAACTAGCTCTAAGAGTGGGAGCTTACTGGAAGTTCAGCGTCCTCGAAAGAATACAATCCCGGACAACACGGTAAAAATAGACTCCATAAAACAAATAGGCCAACAGATTGAAATCTATGCTAGTAGGAGGGTGTGTGCGAGTGTGTGTGTGTGTGTGTGTGTGTATTTGTCAATGTCAGAAACTCGAAGCAGGGCCATTATGGTGGAAGGAAAGAAGAGCATCGTCTGTCTTCAAAGTGAAACGCCTCTGACCATTCCTGCAAATGATGATACACGTCTTCTGTCCATTTTACATCACCCAGCGAAGGGGCTCCCTCATGGAATGTGACAGCTGGGTGTCATACAGTAGTCCGTCATGATTTTCCTTCTCACACGCAGAGTCAAGAGTTTCAAATGGACGTCTCGGTTTTTGCAGGGCACTCCCCAACTGGGCGCTCTGTATGTAAATCCAATCCAGTCCTGGTTCCTTTAGGAGTTTTACATGCATTAGATGTGCACTCTGAGATTAACGTCTCTAGAGACATGTGTTCATCTTCGCATTTGTTTTGGAAGACGGTATTATTGTATATTCATGTATTAGACTTTTTTTGCACCTTATAATTACAGTCCGGTACATTGTGTGCATTCACCCAAATGTGCACTTTCAAGAAGTATTTGGTTATAATGTGAAAAGAGAGAATCCAAAGGGACCAAACAAGAAGACAAATAACTGGAAAGAAGGGTGACTCTCTATGTTGAGCTGTGGTTTGGTCTGCTCTTCCTCAGTGAGTTAATCTATGGTTAACGTTCTCTACTGGCAAACCACTCGAAGGCTCTGAGGCAGCTTGTTGGATCTAAATTAAGACATTTCTGCTTGGTGGTTTTAATTCATGCAAGGGACAGCTGCAGGTGATGAGCGCTTTGGGGGAAGCTACAATTTCGTACTTGTGTTCAAAGGAAGTAATTGCTTCTCCCATATCATCACATCATTCCTGTCTGTATACGGACTGTCAGCATAGGGTGGATCATCTTGACCAATCATCAGTCAATGAGACCCAACACATAAACCAAACAACATACATAAAAACTCGTTACAACTTAATGCTACATGGTACGATTAAAACGCTCTGAGACTCTGTGGCGCAAAGGCATGTTGATGCCGCGACTGCACAGCACGGCGATTACATGTTGGTTTTTTGGCAAGAACAACGCAATTGTCACTCACCCCACCCACCCTACTTGACTGACTTGGCCTCCTGTGCCTCCTCCACCTTCCCCACAATAAAACTCAAGTTGAAGGGTCGCTGTTTTGGAGATTCGGCGCTCATTGCAGATGGTGCACGGTATATTTACATAACAGGATTTCCAAGGAGCATCACAAACATTGCAGGAGCGCTAGAAGCCGTGAATTGTGGTGAACAAATTAAATTAGATTGGGTTTTTACATTTTCATGAGCGCAGTCTCCGAAATTTCTAATTGTACTTTAAACTCTCAGACCTTTTTGGGGAGAATAATGTTAACCCTATCAAAAGAGCACCATTGTGACCCCTTAGTCAAGGAGTCAGTAGGTTCAGGGACGGCTGCATTCACAGTATTGTCCACAGGTAAAGCAAATGCAACGGGAAACGCAGTTTGTCCAGTTCAAACTACTTTCAAGTATGAAGTGCACTAGAATAGTAGATTAAATTAATTCAATAACTTCTATTGATAATAAATGAACTATATTTCTTTTTTGTCTTGCACTTGCAAAAATGCATATTGCAAATAAAGATATTCATATTTTTTAACTGCAAGAGAGAAATAAATACTGATTAACATAAAGGTTACAAAAACAGGAAAACCATCAAAATTACAGATACCCAAATAAAGGGCATTCAGAAAGACATTAAAAAATAAAAACCTTGGCCAACCCAAGCAATGATTTCATTAATTTCTCATTAAAATTCAAATAGCTGTTGCTTTTAAATCTGAATCTTCCTTTTTAATATATTTCTGACCTCCCATCTTTCCCCTACTACCCACTCCATCATGTCCCTGCTGACTGAACTCCATAAAGGAGTCTAGTCACGAAAATATAAAATATCTGAGTCTGAGGAGTTAAAAAAAAAAAAAAGAAAGTAAGAAATCTTTCCACAGTGGATCTTTTGTCTCCTAATGTTCATTTTTCACAGCGGGAAAAAATCAGCTCACAAGTTAAAGTCGAGAGTGACTTCATTCATTTGTCCGTTCATGCTGCAAAAATAAGACTCGTGTGTTCATCTGGGAGTGTGCTTCAGTCTCTATAGCTGGCTGACTGCTATGATTAAAGGCTGGTTTTTCCTACTCTGAAATACTGAACAATAGAGTGCTTCACCGAGCCTTTTTTTTTTTTTTTTTTAACTCCTGTCCGATTCAAAGTCGAAGTTTAAGTCTACTGGTAATTTCTGAGTCAAAAAGGTTTCATAAAGTTTTCCTGGCAGCTTCGTGCTGACTCACTTTCTGAGCCACACACACACATGAATGGTTGATTGTAGACTACACACAGATGCTGTGCAGGAGAAAAAAAGCCTCAGGTGTGTGTTTTTACATGATAAATGTGGTGGATTGATATTTACCACAGCTTCTAAATTACCTCAAATGCAGTTTGGCGTTTCTGCACTTACTGTTACTTATGAGTCGGCATGTACAGGAAAATATCGATGAACTGCACAGCGATGAGTCACAACATTAAAACAGGTGGAGCACCATTGATTATCTCATTACAATGCAACGTTCTACTGGGAAATGATGGTGCGGCGAATAATCACTGTAGTCGGCAGAAATCGATGATTAAATTATTTTCCGGCAAATTGTCGATTAGTCGGTGACAGCATCACGTCTGTTTTATTTTGCGCTGCTCGGTGTGACTATATGAAAGGCGTGAACCATCTTCATGCAGTCTGGGGTCACGCTGAGCAAGTTCGTGGCTGATCTCAGCGCAGTAGAACAGGAGGAAAACTGGACAAACCCAAAATAATAACCAGGGTTTCCACCAGCGCATTGCCAGCCGGGCAGCAGTCCGGTCTAAGTTGACCCCCGCGGGACCTAATCATCGGAAGAAAATGTTTTTAACCCACAGTTACAGCTGGAAAGTTCACCACCGAACATTTGCAGCTTTAACCATGTTGCGTTCATGTATCAGTAACAGCTGCCATTTCTAACAACTTTTCAACATAATATCTGCAACTTAATTATCTGCATTGTTGGTAAAATGTGCAAAAAGCAACCTCAAGTTAAATTTAAAAGCTGATACCAAAGTAAGCTATTGAGTGAAATCCATAATCCAAAGAGTCAATTGTTTCAATAATCAGTGTATCAGTCAACTATCAAAATTGGCATTAGGTTCTGGCCTACTAGGAAACGTTGGGTCTTGGCATTCATTCAGATGCTACATCGCAGACCAAGCACCAGCACTTCCAGACAAAAATGCCCCACAACACTGTAAAAACTGCTACAACAAATAGCCCAGCGCATTGACCTCGCCTCCATCCTCCTCAGATCCCAATCTGCTCAAACGTCCATGGGTTGTACTGGACAAACCAGAAGGTCACACACAGAGGACACATGGAACCTACACAGTATGAGGAAGGTGGATTTATTGCCGTCAGTTAGCTAGGATCAACTGATATGTCAGGCTAACCAATGTACTGTAGATCTCCTGTGAAACAAAAGCCTAAAAAATGTTCTTAGAGTGTAGTTACAGTTTGAAAGTCTGCCTACCTACAGCAGCAAGATAAAATCTGGGCATAAGATGGACTCTTTTACTCAATAATGACCAGCTGATCATGGCTCACCAAGCAGAGAAGCTTTTTTTTCAGTATTTAACCCTTTATGGGGCAAGCGATCATATTTGGTAACTGAGGTTAACTGGTGATTCCAAATTATCCATAGATGTGAATGTGAGTGTGCTTGGTTGTCTGTCTCCAAGTGTAGCCCTGTGATGGACTGGTGACCTGTCCAGGGTGTCCCCTGCCTTCGCCCTAAGTCAGCTGGGATAGACTCCAGCCCCCCGCAACCCTAGTGAGGATTAAGCGGTGTATAGATAATGGATGGACAGATGGAAGTAAAAACATCTTGAAATATCCTTCAATAACGCCCTTGGGTTGAAATTTTCATTTTCTAAGTATTTCAAGGAGTGCCCTATAAAGGGTTAACAAGTTTGGAGGTGGTGTCTTAATATCTTACTAAAGTAACAGATGAAATAATAGTTTAATCTGTAATTTATGTGCCATTATGTAAGCTGCAGTGTCTGGATTACTACTTATTGCCATGGTTATGACAAAATGTTACCTCCAAGGCTACAGAGAACATCATTAAACAACAACAATTCATCAGTCACATGAGTTATTGATTTACAGGTTGCAGTTTTTACAAAAGGCCTGTTCACTACTGGTGCATCCATTGTGTGAAAGCCAGTGCTTGTTGTTATCAAAGTTGAACTCCTGCACTGTAACGGCTTTATTAAGGTTGAAACAACAGCAACGCAACCAACAGTATCCAAGATGGAACTCCAAACATCCTCGTCATCTTACATCATTTTTTAAAGTATGTCCCTTTAAAGCTTTCTTGTTGTACATATAAAAAGTTCATCTTTCTCATGTGTGTTTGAAATACAATGAAATGATTGTGCTCCAACTCTCTGCCTCAACACAAAGGACAAACGACAAGGCATACACAGACTATGTGCACAATGAGTTCCTACATCACATACACAGAAAGTAATGTGCACCATAATTCATCAATGTGAGATGCAATGAGTGCATCAGCTGTTCAACAACCTGGCTGTCTGTGGAAAGAAAATGTGACTAAAGACAAGTGGTGTGAGGTGATCTGATGCTCCTGGAACATTTTTTTTTACATAGTAGGAGTGAAACTACAACATGAGCTGGGAGACTGAT